ACAGTCGTAAGAATACAGAGAATGAACGAAGTGAACTTAGTTGAATTTTAATTTCAGCAAACACCCTACACTGTATGTCGATGTTCATCAAGAGAACGGATCATATGCTCGGAAGCTGATTCAATGATAATATCAGATTGGTGAAATTGATACTAAAAAATTCCCATGTCAAGAATTGTATTATATCATCATTAAACAGAAAAAAACGGTATCTATACATACTAGATTTGGAAATACAAAGAAAATCTCTGCAGTGTGAGTCTAGATATGTGTATTTTTTAAAACTGCAATCTACATCAGCACTATTACATAATAGTAGTACAAGAAAAATTAATAAGTTGGTAAAGTCCACACTGAGATCTTTGCATAATTTTTTTAACCAAAATAATTTTTTCAACAGTAAAAGAGAACATAGGAGGACAGATGATAGGAAACTCATTTCAGAAAACACGAATATCAGTTTATATTAAACTATTTGCTTGATTTTGCATCACGGTGGGCCAAATGTAATACCTCGAGCTTGTCTTCGATATGCTTAATCGTTTCCATTTTTGACTGATGATAAGCATCGAGCTTCTTGTCTTGCTTTTCTTCTAATGCACTAAATCTCTTTTCTAGTTGATGATGCCACGGATATAAAACACCAACTTGAAAACCGAGAGCGGTCGTTGCGATCACGAAGTTGACGAGCGGGACGAATTTTCTCACAAAAGGATTCACCATCATGAACGTAATAAGTTAGTGACGCGATAACCAGTTCCGCCTGCCGAGTTTTCTGTAAAAGAATAAAAATAATTAAACACTAAAAAAAGAAGCAAATGTACACGAGCGATTGGTTGACGGTGGTGACTAGTTTTTCTTCATATAGTGCAATGGCAACAAAATAAAGAGGGCGCTGATCTATTTCTATTACACTTCTATAAACTCTTATGAGTAAAAATTGGTATGTAAAAATGAAATCTGTGAACTGAACAATGTACCGAGTGTTCGACTTTGCAAATAATCATACGTCAGGCCAGTGTTTAATGAATGAGTGTACCCAGAAAAATAAAATGTACGGTACCCGGATCAAATAGAATTTACACACTGTTTTATACACTGACAAAAAGTTTTGTGTATATGCGCTATATACGCTGAGTTTCGTTTTTACACGATGTTTTTTACGAGAGATTTCGTGCTTTAATAATTAAAAGAAAGAAATGTTTCGCATTAAACGTAATCAAAATTTTATGTCTGATTCAATAGAAAAATACGCACGGGCGCTCTACATCGCCCATATTCACGTAACTTAATATATTGTTTCACTTGTGTACAGTCTGATATAAAAAAGTGAAATGGCAATAAAATAGTTTTATGGAAGATGATAAAAGAAAAGAAAAAACAGCAGAAAAGAATACATCTTAGAACTGGTTTGCTTTAGTTTAAACTTTTAATTTTCAACTGCTAAAAATCTGCGGTTTTTTGTTCGCACTGTTTTCATATAGATTATCAAAAAATAAGACAAAGTATTTTTTTATATTAATTTACTATATAATTGAATGAATATTAGTATCTGAACTGTATCTATGCAAGCAATATTGTGATCTCTTTTGTAATATTCTTGTTTAGGTATTCACACATCTATTAGTGTGAATAAATAATGTTTGACGAAAATGCAGCTAGTATCTTGCATTGAGTCAGATCTTGTTTTTTTCCTTGTATTTTGAAATTTTTTTACGTTTTGTAAATTTAATTTTCGTGCGCTCATCAGCGTGAGAAATAAAAATAAAAATGACTTTTTAAAGCAAGCTTTTTTATCTCTAGAAATCAACAATTTTACTTATTGTGGCATTGTGTACGTTTTGATCTCTGAAACAAAGTGTACAATTACACGCTACACGGAAAAACAAAATGTATGCATGCATACTATTTTAGATTCCCATTAAAAACGCTGTGTCAGGCGCATATAAATTAAATAGATCTTCCAGCAAAATCCTTATCATGACGTGTTCCTTTTCATTTCACTTCTACCTCGAAAAATAAAAAAATGTATTTCGTGTCTACCACGAAATTCAACTAAAATTTTAATAAATAAGTCATCATGTATGGCATGAAGCGTTTGTACGATGTACTTTCGCCAGAAAGCAACATCATGTTTTGTTTTTGTCAACTCCCTGTCTGAGTTTTTCCTTCTTATCTGTACTCTTATTCACTATGCATTCATACGTGTGACGAAAATGCACATGACAATTGCATCGTATCACTGAGAAAAGACGACGAAGATTGATGACATAGAATGCAAATNGAGAAAAGACGTCGAAGATTGATGACATAGAATGCAAATAAAATCGTACTTTTTCTATACATTTCATACTATATGACTTCATCAGATCGATGCATATTTCAGTTTGATTCTATGTGGGTAGAAAACTACCAGCAAGATAGATCATTGTCTCTCTACTCGAAAATTCTATTATTGATATTTAATAGAACACAGTTGGTCTGAAAAACAAAAGTTTTCAGGTTTTTTTCGTATGGAAAGAAAGAAATTTTATAGTGTGATGAACAAGAGAAGATTACTCTACCGTATGATCTTGCAAGACTACTAATTTTAATAATAATGTTTTCTTCAATTTAAACATAGATTTAAAAGGCTGTCTATTTCATTATATTGCTGAACTTAAAAAGAAACAGGCAAAGAAATGCACTTGGCCTGTTTATTTGCATTGACGCATAAACAATAATTCGCATATGCAAATAAATATTTTCACTAAAATATGGTTTATTATTTACTTAACTCTTAACAAGACAAAGCTTTTTTCAATATGACAATGGTTTAATATGAATACCATCGGAATGCTATACATACGTACTATGTCAAAGTGTGATGAATATCAATAAAATCGGTATTGAAAGAAATATGTGAGAATTTCTCACAAGCGATTGAGATAGAGAAAAAAGATATTAAAAATCAATATTTATTTGGTTGTGTAGGAGTGCTTTTCTTCTACTCCACATCATCAGAAACACACACACCTATTACTCATCAGGGAGAAAATGGTTAATTGCCCATGAAAAGTGAATTGAGAGCATTTTCTTTGTCAATGAAACTTTCTCTTTCGACGAGAGTTGATAATATTCTTCGAGAACTACGCAAAAAATGGCTTGCTGAACTTAGCTTTTTTGTCGCTATTAGTTCTATGGAAGATAAAACGAAAAATCTAGTGTAAAATAGCTAAAAAAAAAACTTTTTTCAGAGAGCTATACAAACCGAAGGAGAAAATAGAAGAATGAAGTATCAGCCAGTTGTCCGTCCCTAATGCTATGCACGATAACGATATTAAATCAATCTAATACATTTGTAGAATGTTACTGTGACATGAAATTCTTTTAGATCACGCTAACGAAATTATAAAAATTGTTTTAATTTAATTTATTTGGTATTTTGTTTTGAAAGAATAAATCTATCTTCACTAACAATCTACTTACGACGGAACATATTTGACTGTATCCCCTGACAACAGATTTCAAACTATTCTATCTTATTGAGTCCTTCATGAATATTAGCATTTTGATTATCTTAGCTGCTTTCGTTAAAATTTGAAGAAAAGAGAAAATCCAACTTTGTTATTTTCAAGTATATTAACTACTGTGAATAGCAGCATGATTTTTAAGACGTCTACGGATAATTAATTTTCTTTTTATAAAAAAATCATAGTAAAGGAACAAAACATGATACAAAACAGATACTATTTTCCTCATTTTTTACTGCAAAAACTCCATTTATGCTTCAAACTAGTCGGAATGCATTAATCTCTAGATCATGGTACCAACCATGACATTTTTTCTTATGAACCAGGGGCGGTGGAGCGTCATTAAGCTAGGTGAGGCTCATAATATTTTTTTTTCTACCGTGGAATTTTATGAACGCATCAAGCAAAAAATAAGTCTTCTTTTTATTGAACTGCAGTAAAAATAAAAATGGTCAGTATAAAAAAGATGATTGGAAAATACCAAAAAAGACTTTTTTTGCTCCTGCTTTGATGCACAAATAAAAAATAACAATATTCAGTACAAAAGTAAGTGAGGCTGAACCTCATCTTGTGAAATCTAGGTGAGGCTCAAGCCTCATGGGTCTCAGTGGCTTCGCCGCCACTGGCTCAGCGTAACAAATCCTGAGAATAGAAAATAACAATTTGCAATCTGAAATCTAGGTGAGGCTCAAGCCTCACCTGTCTCAATGGCTCCGCCGCCACTGTTATGAATAATACAATCGTCTGCAAATATCCCACAAGATATAGGCTCGATTATCTTCGCTCTACACAATGGTATCATTACAATCCAGAAAAATATAAAATGAATATATAAGATTTGATATGGAGTTGGTTGATAATTCGAATTTTCCAGTTATTTTCGATCGATTCCTGTGAAAGTCAACTTAGTTTCAGAATTATCTTTTTGTTGTTAACGCTATGAGTAGTGATTTGAAAAGAATGTTCAAAATTCGATTACACTATGGGATAAAGCCAAGAAAGCCGAATCTATCTCCTACGTAAAATTTACCGACGATTGGATTCGTCATAACCAAAATGCCATCTGTGATAACATTCTCTAGAAATCAGTAGCTCCTTACAAAGAGTAGATATTGTAAATTCCATTTTACGGCTGGCATCATCCGGAACTGCATTTACTAGTCGTCTTTAAGTATATAAAGTATTTATGACATTGTATAATTGACAGCAGTTGTTTAAATAATGCATCCAGATAATATAAATAAAACGAAACGATTTCTCTTTTACTCTATTGCCTTTATTTCAGCAGTTAACTTTGTGTGAGGGCAGCACACGTTTGTCGTGCACAATCACAACTGCATGAGATTGTTCTCTTTTATCAACCATTCAGCATCACGTCCGAATTCCAACAAATATTTATTGGCTAATAGAACCATGACTACGAACAGATGACATGCATTTAAAAAACGTCTCATCTCTGTCGTTGTTTGTGTTTTAGATTGTGATTAAATGTCTACCTACAATAATGTGCTAGGCAATTTTATCTCGCATACAGATGATTTAAGTGATCTTGACAATGACGATTATGAAGATTCAGGTTCAGAACCGGAACCTCAAATGGGTATTAAAAATAATATTAATAAGCCTTCTCGAATCAATAGAATTGATGAACGGACTCAAGTTGTTCAATCACTCTCAAGTGAGTTAATCAAATGTTGATAAACATATACATCGAAGATTACATTTGGTTTTTGATGAAACTTTGCTACAAAAGACGTCATAATCGTATTTCTAAATTTTCTTTTTAGTGGCTCTCCTTCATGATAGAAGCAACAATGTCATTTCTCAGAATAATAGCCTATAAAAAATATAATACTTTATCAGTAAAAAGTCAAGAGAAACACAGTGTAACTTATAGTGACGATGTTGTTCGTCTAATTCTCTATGTACTATCGTTTTTTTCTTCTTATCTAAATATTTCACTCAGCCGTCCTTTTGATGATCTTTGTTTTTTTCTTTGTTCGTTCTCTCAGATTTTTTGCGACACTTTCTTGAGTCGGCTATTCATTCAGTATTCTTTGCTATTTTACCAACAGAAATTAACAACTTGAAATATGATAGTTTGACGACTGTATCTTTTACGTCTGTCAATTTGATTTTAAACGTAAAACATACTATAACCTCATCAGAATACAATGGCATCACCTTCGAAATTATATGGTGCGTTCATTTGATTTTGATTTTTCATAATATTTTATTTTTGATTGTTGTTCTTAATGATTCTCTAAAAATGTTATTTAGATGAACGACATGGGTCTTTCTCGTTGGCTGACAGTGAGATTTCGGTAGCTACTACAACGAGCACTGTTCGTACACGGCGATCATCGGCAAATAAAATAGTCGACAATACTCCCAAGCATTCAATATTAGGTGATTTTGAATTAGCAAATGTTATGTAAGTTAAAACGAATAGAAACTATGTGATTAGGAAAATATTGTTTAATTTTAGTGACTGTGAAGAATATCTACTCTGCTGTAAATATAGTCCTTATGGCGATGTATTTGCTGTTGGATTAGGTAATGGTACAATTAAAGTAAGTTTTCAAGTGTTTTCAAAAGCCTGATGTCTATTGGGTGGAGAAAAAAGCGTATAGTTTGCTATACGTTTCCGAAAACGGAAGCAAACTCTTTTATGTTCATTTCCGTTTTGACAGAATATCGGCTACATTTTGTAATGGCACTAAGTTTACTTGACACAACATCGATCTATTGTAAAAACAAAATTTAAACTCAATAAGCCTAAATTATGTATCTCAATACGAGTTAGATTGTGCTGATTTGCATCGTTTCTCGACCTAGATAGGAAATAATGATTAGTGTGTGTTTGTTCTTTTATATTTTGAGAAGGTACCGTTGATCAAACACAAAATAGCCCCGTTTACTACTCATAATGACTAGAAAAATAAATCTAAAAACAAAAATAATGAAATATTAAAATAATTGATTTTCAAAATGTAACTTAAAAATATTTTGTTTAGATCTTTTCCAAAGCAGGCAAATTTCAGCATTCTCTTTCTGACAATGATACAAAAACTCGACGTGAATATTAATTATTGAAATATTGAATATGAATATCTCTCAATTGTTTCATATCTCTTAGGTTATCCTGTAACATGTCTGAAATTCTATGCAAATAAAGATGATGCCAAAGCTGACCATCAAAAAATGTTAGCTGCCACTTGTATGTTTAACTAAAAGAAAATCCTTTCGTACTCGCTCTTTTGCTATCTAGACACTGCTGGTTATGTTAAAATTTGGCATTATACAACACAACAATGTGTTTTTACATTTGAAGAAAAAGATCGACAACCATTAGCGCTTGATTTTAATAGTAATTTTACACGTTTATTTGTTGCTGGTACTGTAAAACATTCTAAAATAAAACGTTCCGACTTACCGATTTTGTTCTATTCTTTTAGGTAGCGACTGCGCAATAAATTGTTATGATTTCGGCACAAAAAAGTTACTTCGTAAACTACAAGCATCGTAAATTCTTATTTGTTGTTTTTTTTTCTAAATAAAATAATTCTAATTTATTGAATGACATAATAGCGACAGCCGAGAAGTTATGGATGGTCATAAGAACCGTATACATGCTATTCGCTCGCATCCAACAATGGAAACTGTTTTTCTGACAGGTGGTTGGGATCAAACTATACACTATTGGGACGAACGTACAGAGCGTTCGCAAAAACATTTTTCTGGTCCTCATTTATGTGGCGATGCTTTAGATATTGTAGCTGAAGATAAAGTTATTATAACAGGTTCTTGGAGAAGTTATTCAGCATTACAAGTTTGAATAAATAAAACTGGAAAAGAATTTATTTTTCGATTTATTGAATAATCTTTTAGATTTGGGATTTTTCTACAGGTGCACTTCTTAAAGATCCCTTTCAAGATAAAGCTACATCTATGGTAAGTTCAATTATATAAGAATGCTTGAAAAATATGCGACAATTATTTTAGCTCTATTGTACAAAATATTCTCCAGGAGATTTCATTTTGTGTGCAGGAACTGACAAAAACGAAGCTGTTATCTATGGTTATTCACGATTTCAAGTGAGATAAAAACAGTGCCTTTCTGTTCTTTATAAATCTCGGAACGTATTTTCGTTTGACATAGGTGATTGGTGGTATAACTAATCTAGAAAGCGCTGTGTATTGTGCTGACATAGATTTCAATCGACCAAATATGATTATTGGCTCGGCAAAAAATCTATATGTTGTTAATGATAAATCTCGTATAAGATAAACAATATATTATGTCTTATTGTCTATGTGTGTGTCTGTTTCAAGTGAATTTGTTTTCAATGTTTCGACAAATCAAGATAATCAATGGCCTATATGAACTATCAGATCAAATATATGAGTGAATATATAATAAAGTGATGGAATAATTGCAAAAAATATGAATACAATAAAAAAACTAAATTGTATCCACAAAACGTTAACAGCTCTGATTATCTTTGTAGTTTCACTAGTTGCATGTTTGTTTTTTTGTCAGAATTGATTCAAGAATAGCTATAGTTCATGTTGTGCGACTCCACTATTGTTGAATAATATGAAGCTCACGAGCAAGATTCTTTGTTGAAGCAAAGAGCTTTTTTCTTTGCGAATTACTTGATTCTTGAATGAGCGTTCAATTTTCTCTATTGAATCTACTATTTAACAAATCAAAAATATGCATGAAGATATGTGTGCTTGTCTGAATCGGCATCGGCGAGAGTGATACTTCGTTTTTAGTATCGTGTTTCTCTTCAAATGCACGACCAATCACACTCGTCATCTAACGAAAACTGATTAGATCTATAAAATTTCGACTGAAATTGATCATAGAACTATTTAGTTTCAGATTGAAATTCAATAATTAATGAAAACGAAGTTTATTCTCAGTAGAAATGCATACGAAACTGCTACAATTAATGTTTTATCACATGTTTCCAATTGAAGTTGTTATTCACGCAGCTTTTAGTAGACTATGAGATATTTGAGTAATATTTAGTGTTCTTCAATACATCTGTTTATGATGAAACGATACTATCTATAAACTATTTAGATATAATTATAAGCGCCCAGCTAAGCAATATATTGCAATGCATTTTCACTAATTCCCACATCCCGTATTGAGTCGTTTAAGCCACAATTATTTATTTTTATGCACTACTCTATTTAACAAAAATGAAGAGAAGAACGTCGTTTTAATCTGAATCCGATCAACGAATCAGATGATAAAGAGATATTCATATTTGCAATAAAAGTGCTACACCAGCAAGCACCCATTTTGATGGTTTTTCTTTTGTCTTTAAATGAAAATGCCATATATACGTATTTCCTCTTGTTTTAATTCGATATACAGGACAATCATAAGCACCCTTCGCATCCAATCGGTCGATAGGTATAGCTACAATAATTATATTTGTAATTTTTTTCTAGTTTTAACCTTCACTGTACCTTTAACAAATATTATTGGCATTGGTGGACATAATTCTTTTAATTTGCCTTCTATCAATAGATTGTTTTGTTTATCCCATCGTGCTCCATCAATAAATAAACTAGAATAATGAAAATTACAGAATGAAAAGCAAAAAATACGATAATTCAATAAAGAACAAGTGTTTATCATACTTATGAATATAAGCACCATCTTTTGGTGCACTTTGTAATTCTTCTTTTTGTTTTTTAGTTATTTCAACTACGAGACACATACGATCAAGTGGCCAATCTTGTTTTCGTGCTACAGCTTGCATGATCGAAGTAAGAAATGATTGCGGATTAAACAAACCGCCTAGCCATACGGAATTGGGTAATTGAAAATCGGCTGTCCAATTTTCTATTTCACGATATCGATTTAACATATCATGAAACCATAAACCTAATGAATGAAGCGATGGATAAGCGCGATTGGTCCATCCAACTGGTACAATATTCAAATAGAAGCATTCTTGTAAAATTTCAATCTCAGATGATATTACTAATTCACCCTAGAATGGCACAATGAGCTGTTTTTATTATAGGTAACAGTAGAACAAACTTTAAGACCACCGTCAAGTTCTTTTAGACTCTGTCGAATTTCACGTAATAAATAATTCATTCTTTCCGCTTCTTGTAAAGCAACAACAGCATATGGATTACGTTCGTCAACGCGTGCACGTAATTCAACAATACTGAAATCTTCGGGCATATGAGTTTGAAATTCTTCAAGCGTATTTCTTATCTAATTCAAATATTTATTCAAACATATCAATTAACGTTAATATTACTTTTTCATCACGTAACATCGTTCCACTTTGCCCGTGAACATTGAAATTTGTTTCTCTTGGTGAAATTTCAATAAGTACACGAAAAAGTTTTTCACTTGTTTGAGAAAGAAAATCAATTTCAGCATTTGGATGAAGTCCATAAAGTTTTGGTGATTCACTTGGAAGTTTATCATCAATATATGCATGATATGCTTTATAATCAAGTGGTGGTGCTAATGGAAAATCAGGTGCCAAATAAAGATCACCTTCGAACATAGTTGGATTTAAATATGTTTCAAGATAACTACGACATAATCGGCGATCCCAATCATCAGTTATATGTCCACCATACATGATTTCACCAAATATATAACGAAGATCTTCCCAAGGAATTTTAACATTGCCTTCAAGATAATTACGTAAAACATCAATGCATATTTGTAAATCTCCCGAAGAAAATGGATATTTTCTATTCAATGAAAATACATAGGGTAAAGCTATTTTTCCGAATAGAAATATCTTACCTATTCCAACCAATTGAACCAAATTTTGTTCGTTGAGAAACAACAGCATGAAAATAACATAGAGCAAAAACAATAACTTTAAATTGAGTATCTTTACTACATGAATCAAGAACTTCTTGATCGAAATTATCCAATGCCTTATGGAGATTAGCCAACATTCCTGAAATCATTGATAGAAAAAAAAGTCAACCAGAAATATACAACAACTAGATGTTACAACACAATCAGTATTGAAATCAAATTGATTCTTACCTGTATGCGATTCATTTGTAATTTTAATTGAATGCTCTAAAATTCCTGGTGGTATAACATGTGTACTAAAATCTGCACTGGGTTCTGCTGACATAAAAATTCGAAAATTTTCTTGTGCTATTTCTAATATTCGTTCAAGTTTTCTTTCTAGTATTGGTAACCAATGTCGTACTAAATGAATATTTTGTAAGACAATCCAATGGCCTTCTTTAGCTGAGATTTCTAATGCATTTTCAGCTACTATTTCTTGGCCTTGTCCCAATGAAATATTATAAAATTTTCCTGTTTGTGATGTATAACCTAATTTTTTGCCCAATGTTTCAACTTCTTTTAATGGATCAACACCAGGTGAAAGAATGAAAAAAATAGGAATCGATTTTGATGATTCTTCATAAGTACGAGCAAAATCTGGTGCACGACTTTCGATATACTTTTTGCCAAGTTTTTCAGCAACAAATAATCTTTACAAAATAAGAATAAAAACAATAGTTAAAAAATCCTAGAAACGAATAGCTAAGTAATTTATCTATACTTCAATGCATAAAGCATTCGATCAGGTCGAACAGCTCGAAGAATACATAATTGCCGCATTGTTGACTTACTTTTCCATTCTCCCTAAATGGAAAAATAAGATTTAGAAATAGAAAAAGTAAAACTTTAAGCTTATTTACTGGAGGTTTTTCTAATTCAGGTGCTTCGTTTTCAACATATTTTTTCCATCGTTTACTTGATATTTCAATTTCACGATCCAGTCCATGAAAAATAGGTAGTAGTGATAAAGCTTTTATACTTCCCCAAGCTTTTTCGTTGAGAAATTCCACAGGACATCCTGCATGTGCTTCTTGAGGATTTCGTAAAAACAAATCAAGTTCAACCATATCGATTTCACCTTTTTCTCTTAAGATCTATTTTAATGCGTATATAAATAAATGAACAAAAATTGCAATGAATCAACTAAAAATATGCTCCGATTCCGAAGTCTAAGTTTTGTGTTTGAGAAAAATAGTTTATATCATGGCTAGTTCTTCGTGAGATATATTAACAAGCAGGAATATCTTCTAAAGTTAGACTAAGAAGCTCGAATTTCTACCTGTAATAATAATTGTACAGTGAAAATAAGTTTATGTTCTTCAAAAAGACCTCGGACAATGTAGGAGTATGAAGAAAATGTAATCGCATCAATAAGATTATCTATTCGTATATGCAAATCTTCATTTTGCTCAGCATTATCAATAGCTTTAAGAAAAACCGATCGAAATGCTTTCAAAGAAAATTGATACATCGGATGAATTTTTGATAGATCATTCATAATAAAATAAATAATACACGCACGAATAGCTGTTGGTCGATATAATTCTCTTGTTCGATCAATTTGTCGGCTAAATTTTTCCGCTTCCATTTTTTTCTGTTCCATTTCTAATGCCGTATTAACAGTACGTTCGAGTGTAACAACAAGTTCAACATTTTGTATAAAATTTCCTTCAGCCGTTGCTAAACATGCTAATAATGAATCTTCTAATTTTTTTAAATTGATTTTATATTCATTTTTTTGTTTGGTGACTTCAAATTTACTCTTTTCTAAATCAGGTCTTTCAACAGCAACGATTTCCGCTAATAATTGTGCTTCAAGTCCATCGCGTGATGTACTAAAATTGATTAGTGTTGTTTGTGCTTGAATTTCAGGCCGAAAATGTGGATTAGCTAAACGTGTTTGCATTATTAAACGAAAATTAGGATGATAATCGATTTCTTTATCGCCAAATTTAACTATTTTGCCTTTACGAATTAAATTTCGATTAATAATTGGTTCCAATATAGAATCAATATTTTCTTCAATACATTCAAGTAAAAGTGTATCACCACGACGTACTGCTGCTTCAACACGATCAAGATAACCTTTACTATTGTAACGAAGTGTAATTAATTTATCAGTGAAAAGATTTTTAATCCAACGAATTCCTTGTCCTTGAGGATCGACCATCAGTGGCCATCGTAAACAATAGATAAGAATAGCAGCATTTTCATAAGATGTTTGATCAGCTGGAAGGCCTTGATTCAGCCTATATGAAGAAAACCAAATTTCATTCTATTTAAGTAACGAATATCAATACAGATTACCATTCTGCAATATCAGCATCATCGATCATTATTGATAACGGTTCAAGATCAATTCGCATTGGTATGATACCCTAAACGAATAGGAAAAATTAGGATGCTTATAATACATAGAGAATTAAATATGATTCAGATCTATGCTATTTTCTGAAGGTTTTTTTTTATATCTCGGACTACTTCTCTGTGAGTTTACTTTTTAAATAGTGTATGAATCTAGTATTCAGAATCATAACGATAGATTTCACATTACTGTTGACTACCTTACGCTATTCCATAGCTTGATATCTTTTCTACAAGCAATGATTGAGGTAGCTTTGGATAGAAAGTTAGCTTTACACAAAATTTTTCTACTTAATTTCTTGAATTGTTTGCACATACTCAAGTAACTAATCGTATCTAAATTGTCTTGCAGATGTTGAACTTAATCTCATGTCTCATTGTTTTAGCGTACTCAAAAAAAAAAGAGTACACTATAGAATCGATCAGTGTGTCCGGCCGTCCGTTTATTCGATAACTCTTCACAATTACATTCGATTGAGCTGAAATTTTGTGCACAGAATTGTCTTATCAATATCTAGGTCGAGTTCGAAGATGAGAAGGATCCGTCAAGAAATGGCTGAGTTGTCGAAAAAATTGTCATTTTTGATCAGACCATCCCTGAGGGGGAGTACAGGGATTTTTCAAAAAAAAAATTTTCTCAGAATTATTCACAACATATATAAATCGACTCAGTTTTTAACGCTGATTCTAAATCTGATATTAGTTTTGAACTAAGTCATAGCTTTCTAACGAAACATCGCCTGAAAAACGTCTCAAAATTCACAAAAACTCCATCCAGAAATCAAATTGTCTAGTTTCTCATGATAATTTTCGTGTTCAGGCATTCTAGAATGACTGATATGTCGCATGCACTTTTTGCAGTACACATAACTCTCGGATGAAATCCGAAGTTTCCACATTTATTTATATTAAAGTTGCAAGCCAATGAATCTAATCTCGATACATACGATCTTCAAGTCAAGTGTGACATAATCGTTTATTAGCAATTAGATTAGTAGAAACAGAAAGAAAATTCATTTAGAATCTTTAATTTTCTACAGAATAATGATTGAGTAAGGTTTTTCTTTCAGTCAAACACAAACGTCAGTTTGCTAACTGATATAAATCTTTGTCGACATACTTTAGTAGCAGCAATAATTGATCTACATTTGTTAACAAAATTGATTCGATAACTTCGTGAAAAATAACCAGCATAAGAAATAAACGTTGATGTTAATAATGCATCACCTAGTAATGTTTCTAAATCGTTCCTAAATGTTTCAACACGTTTTGTCCATATAATTCGACTCGAAGCAAGACCATCAACAAGACGTTCAGCTAAATCAATCTGATGCGCTAATCGTTCTTTTGTTCTAACAGCATCGTCTTTTTCAGCAAGAGCACGTTGCATTTTAAGATTTTCTTCAGTAAGACAATCTTCAAGTATTTGCACACGTGCAAGAATCTTTGAAAAAGCCTGTTGTGCTCGACTTAATTCTTCATTAGCAACATCTAAAGCTATTTGCTTTGGTTTGACTTCCAAATAGACAGTATGAAATTTAAGAGTATCTAACAAATACAAAGTATTGATATGTGTAATTAAATAAAGACAAAACAAGTTTAAGTTAACTATCAAGCCATGTGTATATGCCACCAGCTGCTGCTGATTTCACTGTAATCTGTTGAATTAAACTTTCAATACTATCGGTTTTACTAATTTTCATTAATGTTGCATTCAATTTATCGATGATCGCTCGCACGTGTGGCGTAACCTAAAATAATCGTATTGTTGATTTTCTGTTTTTTAGCACTACGTAAAGATCAGTCAAAAACAAAGACGTTATACTCGTCGCGAAGAGAAAATTAAATTTAACCTAGTTAGGACTCTCAAGATATTTTTCTTTTACATTTATTGTTGACCAGAACTAAAATAAAATTCTCAAAGTTAGATATCAAGAATGATTTTCTAGTCATGTACATAATAGGAGTCATGGATGATTCTTACAATTAAAGTGGCGAATAAATAGAACAATTATTTCTAATCCGAACAAAACGTCATCTTTTTTTTTGCTGTAGTTCTATTACCTCGAGAGAAACTTTATATTCTTTCTTTCTAACTAGAAAAAAAATATAGTTTATATACAACAAATGCTAAGTTCAGCATCATATTTCACGTCCAGGATCATTCAATCAGCAGTGATTGTGTGGGTGCAATTTATTTTAGGGATGCCTTAATGCGTGTCTTATACCAGATAATGAAATATTAATTGAATTGAATTTCGACATTTCTATCAGTGAATTTTTTCAAATTTTGGATTAGCAAACAGATGCAAACCTAATTCTTAAATTTCTCAAGGAAATTTTCATAGTCACCTCAAAGATATCTCTGCACATTGATACTTGTCTTTTTTAGTCAGTAGCTGAACATGAATGGCTTCAGTTCAGGTAGAATTCGAAGGCTCTAGCTCGATGAATGCCTGCATCTTATGGATAGTTCTATTCAAGGTCTTTATTTTAAATGATTCATCATTACGAAAATAAACTATATGACATGTACGCATTTACTTTAGCAACTTGAAAATTTTTTAAACGCTGTAGAAATTTTTCTACTGGTCCGATAGTATTTTTTGCTTCAGTCCATGTTCGCTGATTTTCAGGAATAATTCGATTTTCATCAACCCATTTAAAAAGAACAACTAAAATAAACGTTTTGTAGAAGTACATCAAGAACTATTGATTCACTGTAACTTACCAACCATATTCATTACAAATTTAACAGTTTCAGGTGGTGATGCAAAAGATTTCAATTCCGTTAATTGTCCTTTTTCAATATTCTCAAGTGCTAATCTTGCTGCTTCGAGTACAGGTTCAGCTTTAGCTCTATATTCATTTAGATTAAAACAAAAAATTAGAATTTTCACATTGTAATGAAATATATACAATTCAATTGCGCATGCCGCATGTACTTTCTCAACAGCTGCCTTTTTTGTTTCAATTTTACGACGTTCTTCATCGGCAAATAACTAAATGCAAGTAGTTGCCAAGATAAAATCTTCTCTTGTTTTCAATAGATTTTTATCAAACCTTTTCTTTTGAGACTTTATCTGCTTCTGCTGTAACAATTTTTAATGCGATTTCTGCTTTTTCTGCTTTTGTATTCACTTCGTCCGTTGTAATTTTTAAATCTTCTTGTAAAGTGGCAGTTTGTGCTGATATTGAACCAAGCTTTTCTAATCCAGCTAAAAGTCGAACGATTTCAAGTTCAACTTTCATTTGTTTATTTTCATAAATATGTTGAAAAGTTTTTATATATTCAAGAAAAGTTTTCGATGTTGTATAATAAGATCGTCTTTCGTTTGCTAAATATTGTATTGATGTTTGATTAATATCTAAATGTGTATCCGCCATAAAATTAGCAATAGAATGACACACTTCATTAGATAATAATTTATTATTATCATTAAGAAAACGAATAACAACCGAATAAAGTGCATCTCTTGGCCAAGAATGAAACCAATCAATAATTGTTCCACTAAATAATGCTGGAAAACGACGTGCACGTAGACGTAATGTATTGCCAACAGGCGAAAAACACATCACAATTTTAAGATTTCGTCGTACTTTATCAATAAAATATTTCCATATGCTTTCTTTCGTTTCATTATAACCCTGTGATTTAGCTTCCGATCGAAGTTGATTAAGAATTTCTTCAACTTCATCATCAGTAAATAAACCAAAGATTTCACCAGATGATAAATAATCATTTAAATGAACAAGAAAATGTTCATCAATTATTTGTGCATCAGATATAAGAAATACACAAGCAAGACCTTTGAGAGCTACACGACGATACAAGTTATTTAGATCAACTTTGAAATCATTTATTCCATAGTTTGGTTTCATGGTTATTTGAAAAATATCAAGTGACGATACAAAAGCTGCTAAACGAGCCAACGATTGTTTGCCACTGCCACCAACTCCAATTAGCAATGCATTACCTAATGAAAATAGATTTTTAAAATTTTACACGTATAAAATCTATCTGTATCTATTTATAATGATAGGGACAACTTGTGGACTGTAGAAACAGTTCTGCAAATGACGCTGAGACAGATTGTTGAAATCAGAACTCTGAATTATGCAATCTCTTGTATGAATTTCGATAACTATTTCGTACCTCGTGGTGATTCAAGTATACGATTAATACGTGCAACATGAATAAGAGCATCTTCGAATAAGACTAAATTCATTGACGAGTTCGTTTCATTATATGCTACTAATGCATCTTCAAGTATATGCTGTAATTTATTCATTGACGATACAGATGTATACTGTCCATCACCAATGCCACCGGAAAAATGTGAATAAATAATTGGACGAAGAAATATTTCATCGTCAACAAACTAATAAAATATTTATCATGAATATAGAAATAGATTAGTAAATACGTTACTTCAAAACTTTTCCGTATACTTTCACGCAAAATTTTATTAAATAACTCAATGTCATCTTGATTTATAAATTTATCTGAATAAGTTCTTTCAGCTTCATGCAAATATAAACGTATTAGATCTTGTGGATTTAATATATTTTGTGTTGATGCAAATAACATTCCCTAAGATAAACAAATCACTTTATTACCTAGGCTAGGAAATGACTTCAGAATAGGAGTTTGCCACAAAAAAAATTAAAGTTAGATGCGAGCTCAATTTATACATAAAAACGCTGCATTCCGTGATTGCAAGAAGTACCTGAAAAGTGAGTATTCCTTGAAGTCAAATTTTCAATAATAAGTCAATGTCAAATATATCGATTAGCACTACAGACATGATCAATTGATTTGCTCTGCATTATCTTATTCTGTTCTAAGAAAAACAATACTATCGTTACCTGAACAATATTTGACAAATCACGTAGATTAAAAAAATAATGAAATTTAATTGCTGTAGGTAAAAATACACTTGAAATGCGTTGATGAAATTGTATTATAACTGTAATAAATTGATTTAAAAAATTTGTCTGTGTTTTTAGATCAATTTTATTGATATTTGAAAATTTAGCTTCAACCATTTTCGAATAGATTGTATGAAGAGTACTCTAAAAATATTTGAAAAAAATGATTTCGTCTACGTATCTTAATTAAATAAGAAACCTTATTTGATAAAGGAACAGCAAATGTTGAAAAATGCCGTTGAAGACGAGCATCAATATTAAATGTTCCTGCATTATGATTCATTGCAACAACAAATTGACAATTTCGAATTTCTTTTAGTGTTAATTTTTGTCGATCGTACCAATGTTGATAATCAAGATATTGACGAACGATGGTATGCGCTTGTACAGTGAAATATTGATCACGTTCAGGCATATTGAAATCGTCTATAGACCAAATTAGATTAGATTAGAATAAATAAATAGCAAACTATTGTTTATAACTAAAAAGATAAAATACTATCTGTGAGAGAGAGAGAGGGGAAAGAGTACAGTTTTAAGTTTTACCTAACAGACGGATATGTTTGCCTTTAGCTCTAGAAAATAACTTTCCGTTGTTTAGAAGTGATTTTATACAAAATACCGAAAATAGATCATGGACTTGATACTAATAAAAAAACTTTTCTATCTTGAAAAAAAGAGATTTCGAAGAATCTGCTGTGCGGTTGATTGATTGATTCTGAGCTGCTTATGTTAAGACTTGTTGGTAAAATTTGGATATTTTTCGGTCAATAATAAAGGAAAATGCTGTCGTTTTATACTGATTATATAAAGGTTAAGAATATGCACTTAGTGAACCTATACGAAGTCATTATATATTGATATTCGTATCTATACCATTTTTTATATGTTAAGTTTTGGTTTTCAGTTATTATAAAAACAAAAAGGTCTCCATTATTAGATTAAACATATTTCAATTGGTGAAGGGATTAATTTCGTTTCTTTTTGTTGATGTTCGTCTGAATACACACTTTAGAGAGAATTTTCAATCATTTTTTTTAGAATAAGCTTTACAAAACAACGATAGGCAGATACCAATAAAATAAATCAATTGTCGATTTCCTGGTGCTCCGTATGTTCGACCAGCTTTCTTCTCTAAAGGTTTTTCAAGTGAGTTTTGCAGCATTTCACTTGTCGTATAATCTATAAATTTGAAAAAAATTAAAAAGAAACGAATTAGACTTTAATCAAACATTACAATTTAGCGGAATTGTTGATATTATAAAGTTTTGTGAATCAAATTTTTCTAGTCGATTTTTAATGATAACACTTTTACCAGTACCGGCTGAACCAATAAACATTACTGAAACACCTTTCTTTATAAGTGCTTCAAGCCAAAATGATAGACACACTGTTTCGTTTGTAGATATTAATTGTGACTAAAGAATGTCTTTGTTGTTTTGTATTAAATTTAATCGGAACGAAACAAGCAAGCATACCTGAACTGGTAAATCGGGGTCAAAATTGATTTCATCAACAAGTTTTGACCATGGTTCAAAACGCTTTGATTGAGGTTCAATTGAATAATCAAATATAGTTCCATGAGGTGGAAATTTGACACTCTTAAATTCATGAATAAACCATTTTGAAAATTCAACTCGATAATCAATCATTTGATCTTGAAAAAGTGAACCGCCTATAGCCCATATAGTTGCCCAAACGAAATATAGTTCCCACCAGTCTTTCGGACAATCTGCTGGTAAATTTTGTGGTGTTAATAAACAATCTATAGGGCAAAAGAAAAGAAATAAGATCATTATTATTAGTACAGATGAATTCGATTGAAATATTCTGATCAAGAAACTAATGAATTGAAGAAAAGAACAAGACAAACAACTGCACTGTTTTCTTCAATATGATTAAGGTTTTATTTACAGTTGTTGATTTAACAACAAAAGAATTAAATCTGTTAAAATTATACTTGACTCTCTCGACATCCTAAATTCATTTGTATGAATCATCATCTAAAAAATTGTTTTATTATTGTTTAAAATAGAATCTCATCTATCAGGTGATTAATTACAAATACTGGTTGTTTGGGTTAATAATTCGTATACGAAATACTAAGTATTGATCTTGTTAAAAGAATAGAAAGTCTATCGAAATGTGGCGATAGTTTAGGATCGACCAAGACCAGCATATACAAATCACATGCTTAGAAGACCCTGAGATTTCTTTAATCATTTTCTATACTTCCTTTTATTTGAATCCATCAAGCACGAAGACAAACAAAACATTTCCAATACAGAACGCTACTCATCTGTCTACTTCAAAACTAACATATAATCGAATTACATCTTTTTAAATAAAATAAAAAAACATTCACTAACCAAGAATATTGCATAGCATGTGTATATGACAAACATCAACTAGTGGCGTAATCGTTTTTACACGCCCACTTTTAAGTAACTCCAAACAACGTGGAATATATTTGTCAAATAGTAATAATAATTGATTTCGTTCACTATTTGCTTCACGTTGTTCAACCCAACTAACATAGACTGGTGAATATCCAATGTCATTGGTTGATACATATAAAATACCAGCACGAGAAACAGTTGCTGGTGTAGCTGTTTTTAAATGATTTATTTCAAATAATAAGCGCATTGTTTCATTTAGCGGAATACGTTCATTACTAGCTAGTGTAAGTACTTTATTATCATCCATAACTGTATTTAATGATTCAATCCACATTGGATCAATATCACCATCAAGTACAATCCATTTAGGTGCTAAAAAGTTTTAAAATTCATAAATAATTTTATATTCATTAAGAAATAATCACTTACAATCTGATGTCATATTAGCTAAATCTCGCATAATTGTTGAAAATAGACCCTCTTTCCATTCATGAGTTTGTCGATGCATATAACCAAATAATTCATTATTAGTAACAGCTTTTGGATCAACTGAAAAGACAAAAGCAAAATATTCAATAAATAAGTGATAGTTAAATAATATCAAGAGATTGATTTTACGATCAATAGCATGTGGTCGACGTTTCATATTGTGATAAGTTTTAAATAATGTTTTCCATATTTGCGTTTTACCTAGAATATCAGACAAAAAGCGTTCTAATCTTCTGTCTAACCAAAATATGTATCGCCGTTAGAATTATCAAAATCCGCAGACAGGAACAGGATGTTACTTGTATCTCAAAACAACAGTTGTTTATCATATTTGTTGTCTCCTTGGAAGTAGAAAAATGAAGAATTTAAAAAGAGCTCTACTGCGTACTATATAGTCTAGCATACTGTTTTAAATGAGAAACTTCATAAATATATAGAAAGAAAGTTGTAAGAAACTTCCAGTAGTGTCCAAGGACTGAGGAATAGGAATTCCTAATGTGCCGAGGAATTGTCAGTGTCGCTGTGATAATTCCTAGAGGAAATGGGAATCAACTATCGGTTCCCTCACAGTTACACCATTCACGAAAGTTGCGGTGTTGCTGTTTTAAAAATAATTCTTGCATGAAATCATTGATTCTCACAATTTTGCAAGTGAAAATGAGTGTAAGAACAAAATTATCGTGAATATTCCATATTTTTACCTTTAGTATGCAAGGAACTGTAGGGGAACTGGCGAGGAATTCTTAATCCTCAGTCCTTGGACACCCCTCGATAGTTTTAACTTTATTTTCATGTAGCAGTATTCTATAATACCGATTTGTTTTTAACGTACAATCGCATTATAAACATGTTCAAAACATTGTTCATCAGATCTATTTTATGTTTCATACCTGTTCCAGCATTGCCAATAATAAAAACAGAATGTCGTACATCGAATATTTCTTTTAATTGCACAACTTTAAGTACAAAATTATTTTGTACTGTTGGACTTGCTTCTTCAGCTTGTAAATGAAGATCAATGGCAGCTATTCGAACTTTATCTTCAAAATCTTGGTCTCTATTTTAAAATTAAATAAAAAAAATAAATATATTGTATAAAATATTTATGCTGAATACCTTTTTCGTTCGACATCTACTGCTGGAAATAGATCTCCAATAAGATTAAGAAAAACAGGCATGTCTTCGATGGTGATTTTCGGTATATTAAAATCGCGTAACGCTCGCATAAGGACTTTATCTTCGCTCATATTTGGATCCGATCGTCTCAATGTTCCTGCTACAACAAGTACCGATTTAATTGCACGTAAACCCCAATCGTAATGCTCCTGTTGAAAAGCGAATATAAAAAATGAAAGATACATAGCGACGATGACAAATAAATTCAAAAACACAAACTTGTTTTGATAATAAATTATGGCACAGTGTGTATAATGTAACAAATTTTCTACTTAATAATCGTGCATCTGTAAATCCAGCTGATACAAGATTTAATTCAGCTAGATTAAAACAATAACAGAAAATCAATAATAATCGACTTTTAAAGGCAAACCTATTAATTCAAAATCTGGTACGACCATTGCGCATGGTCTATTCATGCAATAAAAATTTAAAAAAATATTATTTCGAATATTTCGAACAAATGGCGAATCTGTCTGTACCGAAATAAAGCTTTTAAATTTTCTGGCAATTCAGTTCGTCCAGCATAACCAGGATTCATTGTTATGAAGATACCAACAGATGGATGAAGTTTTATTTCTGCATTCATAAAATTAAATATTTTACGTTTTGCTCGTAATGCGTCCTATTCAAATGGCATCGTTTAATTAATTTTGCTTCTTTTCATAGATTTTTTCCTTACAAAAATGAGTTTAACTTGAACGGCAACAACAGATAAAACTGCGATCGATATACGATTGAATCTAATTTAAATCAAAATTTAATATTTAAAAAATAAATAAGAAAAATTTACTCGTCAAAACAACCCCAACAACCACTAAAAAGTAAGAAAAAATACAAGGGAACAAAATATTTATAAAAAAAAAATGGTCAAATAACAATTCATACCTCATTGCTAATCCTTTAAAAGTATTACCAATGGATTTATAATCAATTTGTTCAGAACAATTTGTAACAAAAACACATACACCTAATGATCGACCAAGATCTATTTAGAATGTTAGTAGTTTTACATCATTTTTCATCAAGAAAAAAAGTATCCTATGCTATATAACCTTTAGTTGTTTCAGTTTTTCCAGTTCCAGCCGGACCTTAAAGTGAACTCCATAATATACCGTAAACATACCTTTCGGAATGATTCTACATACCAGCTGGAGCTCCACCAACAAATAGATGTAATGATTGTGTTAATGTTATATAACATCTAAAGAAAATACGATTTGCTGATTGAGAGAACAGGCAAAAAAAAATAGTGTCAGCAGTGGGAGTCGAACCCACGCCAGCATGCGCTGACCAGAACACCCAACCTCACTGAGGAAGCATTGCGCTTGAGTCTGGCGCCTTAGACCACTCGGCCATGCTGACTACAAGGGTAAATGATTTGGGATTCTAGTCACTATTATACAGATGACATAAGACCAAGAAATCTTATGAATAGTGAACAATTGCAACTCTTGAAAAATAATTGTTTTATTAGTGTGATAAAGATAACTGCACTGTAAATCAATTTTTTATGACTCTAGTCGAGAAATGTGAATAACAGAATTTTTTTAACTAAATTAAAATAGAATTATATGCATTCATATACAGATTAAATTTGATTTATGATGAGTCATTTTGTTTTCTAAACAAGTCAAGACACATTTATATCAATCATATGCGTAATTGCACCATCGCGTTTCTCTTCACACGAATGATTGATTGGCTGAATCATCGACGTACTTTTTTCACGGATAATTCACTGTATGATATGTCTGATCGTTTAGGGACTTCCGAAAGAAAAATCTATTTCAATGATAGATATAAAAAGTTAATTTAATGGGGAGAATGTTGTATTTAATAAATCTTTCTAAATTACGTAAGTCATTTCAAAATTAGTCCTCCATGTATTTTTATCATCAAAAATAAAAGAAAATTTTTCAATGCCCTCATTTGGTTAAAACAATAGTCTCCTTAAATGTTCTTTAATTTCTAATGAGATAATGATAGACGTTTGCTTTGATATGCGCCTAGCACAGTATATCTAATTGTCTTTTTGATGTATGTTTCTCTCTTCTTTCCTCTCTTGCCTAACTGTCGATACAGATTAGAATATAAATAAAAACATTCTCATCATATTGAAGGAAAAAAAACAGGAATAATTGTACTATGCAGTTTGCTCACATAATTATGCTATGATCTGGAATCGTTTCTATTTCGTATCATTAGACCTAATAGAAAACATAGAGAAGGTGCCAATTACGAAAAACTACTCAACTAAAAGATTGATAAGCATGCTTTATACGTGTTCCATGTTGCATCATCACGTCGCGTATAATGTAACATGTACAAACAGCGACGCTAACCATTAGAAGATACAAAAATCTAGTAGGATATGAACTGAAAAATGATTGGTTATGCATGTAAAAAGAGGTTTGAAGTAAAACTATGCAACAAGTCTTGAAAAATTGTTTAGCAACATTTTCTACCTTCGAGTGTCAAAGAATGTCTCACAATAATAAATAAACTGCTGTATTATTGATTCTTTTTGGACGATTCGCCTGAACAACAATGAAGAATTGTATTCTCAAAAGAGATAGAATCAAAGACTCTGCTTCCAATTAATAACAAAAACTAAATCATATTTAAAATTGTTTTTATCTTGTGAAACTTACGGCAATAAATTACCTGTCTGTTAATGGTGTTATTACCAATCGACTTTTATTTCCTAAATATCTATATATCATACAGTTTTATTACTGCTGAAATCGTTCAATCGCAAATAAACTCACTCATATTGATATTTAAATCTAGCATCACATATATTTGCATAACAATTATTATCTGTTGGATCCCATCGATGTCTTAATTGTGATTGCCAAGTAAATTCGTTAATATTTTCAATCTAAACAAATAATTAAAAATAAAATCTTTCTCAATAATATTTTACTTTAAGATTAAGCATTTTGGAAATAACATCACGTGCATGAAGATCAATAAGACAAAGTGTTGTTATTTTTTCACGATCTTGATCATTTAAATGGCCCAGCAATAAATTAATAAGTGTATTAAGTTGTACTATCTGTTTTTTATTATATTCACGAAATGCATTTGAAAAACCTTCTTCAATTCGAACAAATGCCCCATTTACATCTGTTGTCCACCTGAATATTTTTACTTTTAGGCAAGATTCTGCAGCAAATAAATTTTACAACAAACCATATTTGACTGCCAGCAAGAATAATTTGAGCTGCATAATCGAATATCCATTCTTCTCGAGGTTTATCCTAAATGATTAATTGATTTTAAAACCACGAGAAAAGTTACTTCAATACATGAAAAATGAAGGTCATTTTTTTGGACAATTTTTAAACGACTCTTCGATTGTCTCTTTAGAATTTTTATTGAATAGTAAATTTATTACAGCGGCCCGTTGTTGTGGTTCTTTGGAATTGGCTTATGATTCTTTTCTTAAACTTTCAACTGAATGGCTGAATAGCTGAATAGCTAAGTAAAAAAATGATGTATTGTGTCTATCTTAGATGAATTATTTCTTTTGGAAATCAGTCTTTTAATAAAGATACAGGCTTTTTCCACGATACAACAAAAACTAACTTGAAAATTCTTTCAACAATAATAAAATTAGTTCTACAGGTATATGGAAAAGCAGTGTTTTTTTTACAGATATCTTCTAGCGTCATCAATCTCTCCTTACACGCGCAAGCACTAGGCTTCACTTCGTAAGATTCTAATATGCAGTAGAATATCCGCCGTAAATCTATAATCGAACAAGAAACATATCTTGACTTCAATAGAATTTCTTGCGCGCTACAAAAGTTTTCATTAATTTGCAAGAAGTATGAAGATTATTTGCAGATTAAAACTTAGAAGATTCTGTGCGATTACTGTTAAATAATCAATGTGCATACTTCATACGTAGTTACAGCAACTCGAAGCCAATTTCTGATTGTTTCACAATGAAAATCTAATAAACGTGATAACCAAATTTCAACTGCTCCTTCAAGATTGCAATCATTAAAAAATTTCACTCGTTCACCATCATCGGAATACACTAAAATTAAAAGAAAATATTCAAATGAAATGGTTTCTTCAAACTCACTAGCATACGCCATTTTCAGTTTATTTCCATTTAAATCTTCGCGTAAATCTAATTTGTTCAAACTATCAAATACTTTTCTTAATAGTCGCATAATTTTTTCCGGATCATTTCCATTCGATAAGAATTCAAGTAGTTCCGAACCAGATACAAAGAAAAATCTGAATTAATTAAATTAAAAAAAAATAGTATGAAATTTTTCTTGTCGTTTACCTTGGAAATGCAAGTCGTTTGATTTCTAAATAAATAAAAATTCTTTCAACGAGTGGAAAGAAATGAATGGTAAATTAGAATCTTGAGAAAAATACAGAATTGGGAAAGTATCGAACTTCAAACGAACGAAATGTTGTGAAACAAGAAGTCATAACACTGTATATTCAATTAAAGAAAAACAATCCGAAGTTTAAAACTCGATTACGCCGAGGCGTTCAATTGTGCTAGATTGGAATCTGCTTGAGCATAATTTTTGATCACGGAAATAAATATTTTTCGGAACTGTCGATGTGCAAAACTAAGAATAAAACTGAGTTTTTCTAATATTTAGTTACTGTTCAGATGTGATTACGACCCCTTTCCAGACTTCTAATCAGATTAACAAAACTTTCCGAAGAATTCACATACTTTCTTTATTATTTTAGGCAATATACTAAGCTCATATCTCGAAACGTTTCATTGAATTTTCATCAGATATCTGTCTAAATTTTTGCATCTAAATTTTCCAGAAATTCGAAATTATTCGATGAGAAAAGAACGTCTACGTGCACGCACAGTTTTTCATTTGTTACTTTGTACAAAAGCACAAGACAACGCTACCCTTCTCTAGAACTAGTAACTAGGATTCGAATATCTTTACCATTCTAAGTTTTTCATTTTGTATATATTTTTTCCTACTTTTTGCATCGATTGAATAGAACATACCTAAGTAATCTTCTAATGCTTTTTGACATAATTGTAAATTATCTTTCATTTTTTCCAATTGATCATATAAACCCGACCGATTTGTACAGCGAATAAAATTTAAATCAACTTCATTTTCTTTTGCTATGATCTATAAAATGCTTTGCTATTTAATTGATTGAAAAGCAAAATTTGACTTAACGAACTTTAAATTCTTTGTCAATTCTATGGAAAACTTCAGTTTCGTCTGGTAATTGTATTCTGATATCATCAGTACCAATAAAAATTGCTTCTAAATTTGACCATGTTCGTTGTACATCAGTTAATAATTGTAAAACCATATCAGCTGCTGACATTTGACTTTTCCATGTCGTCACATTATCAATAAAATGCGAAATAAATTTTGATGAAAGTAATGTTTGCAATTGTGTTTGATGTTCATCTAATGCAACGAGAATATCATCATCGATTGAAACAAGTGTTACATTGGTACGTGGATGTTTTTCAACATGAAAATTCATATTTGACCTAAAAGAAAATTTAGTTTTAATTATCAATAAATGAGGAAACATCGGATTCGCATCCGACTGTTATGTGCACTGCAAAAACTGAGTCGATTTATATATGTTTTGAATAGCTCTGAGAAAAAAAATCCCTGTAGGCGCCCCCCCCCCCCCCCCCCGGGGGGGGGGGNNNNATCTTCGAACTCGACTGAGATATTGATGAGATCATTATGTGTACAAAATTTCATGACAACTGGATAAGGCTTTCAAAGGTTATCGTGTTAACGGCCGGACGGACACACTGACCGAATCTAGAGTGTGCTCACTTTTTTTGAGTACGCAAAAAAGAAAAACTTCACATAGGAAAATAAAATTACCAAGTATTTTCAAGATCATACAGAATTTTTTCCATTCCTTGTTCTCTAGCAGCTTTATCAACAATATTTTTAACCTAAAATTTAGGAAAATGTTTTTAATTATCAAAAAACAATATACAACAAAACCTCTTCTTCGTATTTATGCAAATTAAGAACAAGTAAATCTTGAAGACTCGTTTCATTCGTCATGCGAATTTGAACACCTGTTTCTTTCATTAACTCATCCCAATGGCGTGATCTAATAGCATTACTACGTAATTCTCCTACAGAACGTAATGATGCAACAAGATTTTTAACATCTTTTTCAATGCCATGATAAGCATTCCATTGATTGCATTCTTTAGCAAGTGAACGTAATTCTTTATTTAAATATGTTTGTCGTAATTCTTGATCGATCGATTCGATATTCACTTGTTTCCAAGGAGTCTTTGTCCATTCATAAATACGTGAACGAATCAGATAAATTAAATCCCATAATTGCTTTAATGGACGTATTTCTCTACGACATAATTTTACGCTATCAAATAAAAACCAGAGATGTTTTTAGAAAATTAATTTTCGTTTTTTAAAAATTACGCTTTATGTTCAGGAATATTGATATCGAATATACTAGCAAGATCGGTTAGCTGTTGAATTTCTTGATGAAATTTACGTAAATGTGATGCCCAAATATTAAGTTCTAGATATTAGTTTAAAAAAAAACCTCTTTTTTATAGTGTTCTAAATAAAACATTCGGCTTCAGAGTCATCTTTCCGTTATACAATAAACACTAGGAGTGTGTTTACCCAACACAATATCGTTGATATCTCGACCTGATCTAGCCGCACAATATATATTCTCTTTTTAGAAATGTCATTTTCCGGTTTAACATAACATTTACTCTACTACTGAAGCGAACGTAATTTCTAAAACATTCTAGACTACAGCTTCGCATGTGAATCATATTAAATATTTGATAACAAGCAATCACTTGAACTGAAAAGGAAAATTGTAGACTAGAAAAATGCATTCTTCGTTGACACTCAGAAACAAGATATTCTACTGAGTAACTATCGATTATTTTCAAAAATGTAAAGATGATTCTAAAATTGTTCAGGTCAATTAGTTGTTAAAAGATAGATTATTTTCAATAATCTTACCAACATAAGGCTCTTTTGTATCGTATGTAAATGGTGCATCTCTTAGAAATCTTTCTCGAATTTCTTGTTGTTTTTTTTCCATGTCGATAATTTGATTACGAATATTTACAATTTGATTTGCTTGCAATGGTGCAATATATTGCTTCATTTTTACAGCCATCTTTTTAATATTAATCCATTTTTCTGGTAATTCATCAAGCATAGCATATATCGTTTGTGGCACTTCATATGCATATGATTTAAGTAATTCAATAATATCTTTAATTGGTTCAGCCATATCATCTGTATATTCTTGTCGAGTACGTACTTGACTTAAAAATGTCATCATTTCAATTAAACCTGTTAAATCATCAGATTTAACTTGACGTTGTAACATATCGGATGCATGTTTTATAAATAATTCTAATTCATTTAATGAAACAGTTACATGGTCAATTAAATAGTTTTTATATCTAATTGAAATACAAAAAAAAACACTCGCTAACCCTTATCGACTTTAAATTTAAGAGTAGGTTTAATTAACTATTTCTAATATAATAATTTCGTTGTAGAAACAGATTCACAACTCCTAGTATAATATGAGTAATTGAAAAAGAGTTCGAGTCCACGACTTATTTACTACTTGAAATGTTGCGTAGAAACAGATCTTTGAGAAAAATAGTCTATCGTTAAATTGCTATTCCAAAGCACAGACGTAGTAAAAATGTATATTTTATATTGCACGTTGATACCTATAAATTCGATGTTCTTATGTTGGACAGTAGTCTAGTAAGCGATACGATACTATCACAACTAATTATTTTCGAATTATTCATATACGTTGAATTTAAAAGCAACTTATCAGTGCAAGAACTTTGCTTATTATAAATATTTCCTAAGTCCTAATTTTCTAACCCTCTATGTAGAATAGCGTATAGTAGAGTAGCTATGCATATGATAGTTTTAAAAACAAACTCCATCAGTAAAATCTTCATAAAATTGACTGTGCAATGTTTGACCTCTAGTTTTGATTTTCGAACTAAATAATTAAACTTACAAATTAATCCATTTATTAACAAGATTTAATAATTGCCGTTTAATAGGTCGAGCATCAACTCTTAACCAACTGTTGAAAAGAAAAGTTTGATTCCAACTATCAATATCGTTATATATTGATTGAAATAAATCGATTTGATTTTGAAATTGTACTAAGCTTGGTGGTGTTTCTTTGACGAGTTCTCGATTTTCGATTTCATTTTCTATTCAACATTAAAACTAAAGTTGTTTTTTGTTATAAGCGAAAATAAAAGCATTTAACCTTCAAGTGCACGACCATAGAGAAGAAATTGTCTCATATGTTCTTTTCTATCGTCAAGCCATAAATAAGCATACTCTTTAACATCATCTTTCCAATCATTTGCTTCTTTCATTGTATCACGTAATCGTTCCATAATTTTTAATCGACGATCATTCAATGCTGTCATTTCTTCAAGATCGTTCTATTCAATTATAATTGAAAATAAAATCGTTCTTTTTCTTCGGCTCTCAAAATTATTTTTAGTTACTTGATAATGTTTTTGTCCAGAATGTTCAGCAAGTCGAGGGATCATAGCAGCTTGTCGAAAAATATTTCCTATTAATGTATCAACTATATCATAAAGACCATTGGCACTTCCAAATTCAAGTGTTGGATTAAAGCGCAAATCAAGATCCTTAAATAAAATGTTAATTCTAATTTAATAAGATTTTCTTAAATGATTACATCTAAAATAAGTTCAACTTCAAAAAGTGGACGTTTATTCAATGTGGGATCAGATTCTTCAAGAAGATAATTGAGGTTATAATCAATAATTTCGTAAAGTGATTCGATAATGATTTCATCAACATAATCAACATATGCTTTCCAAATGTCTGCCTCAGCATCAGCTTTTAATAGCCATTTGTTTTGCTGGAAAAAAAAAGATAAGTCACAAGAGACATCGCTGTCGAAATGATAATATCATTAATTAATTAGTTCTAATTTTAGTTTAACTATTTCGAAACATGATAGCAAATGGAAAATAAAATCAACAGATTTCAAAGTTTTGAGATAGTTATTTAAACGTTTACTGTATTTCTTATAGGCTAACATTAGATGAGAGAAAAACATTACAACTAAGGATGAAAAATGATTCGTCTATTTTATGTTTTAAAACTGTTCTAATAATTTATACGATGAAAATCTTGCCATAGAATGCTCATACAGTTGTCGTTGTCGGCACTTTGCAAATAGTTTGTTCAAAATCTGAAGTAACTAGTTTAAATGTGTGTTTAAAATTTCTTATCGGTTTAATATTGGAAAACTATGATTATATTGTTTTAAAATAGTAGTTAAAATGAATAATATTCTGCTCGATTATGTACTTACTTTAAGAATGTCCTGTAAACGTAAGCCAGCATCTCTTAGTTCGTTGTTTCTCTTTAATACTCTATTTTCTTTTTCATAAACAATGAGTAACGGATCTTGACGAGCTTCACCACGTGAATATAATGCTGTTTTGAGATAAGTTTTAAGAATCTTCTGTATATCATCTAAATTTGATTTGCTCTTAAAAAAACGTGCTTCAAAATCATGAATTGTTGTTCGAAGACGACGAATAAAATCAGTTGAATCTTAAAAGAATTGACAAACTCATATTTCATCTAATCACTAAGAACTATTGAAATGAATGCTAGATTTTAGAGTGAATCTTTACGATACTAAAGAACTTTTGAAAAAACAAAGCTATCGAAGGATTTGTTTTCCTTATGTTATTACCGTTTGGATCAGTTCTGTTCGATAGAAGACATTGAAAACTATTGTTTGAACTAGATCATTTCTCAGTATCATAAGAACAACCATAACTGTTCATGTTGATATAACTTTTACTATGAAAATTCGAAGAGAGGAAATACTAGTAGAGAAGTTATCTTTTCAAATTTCGAACTCAGCAAAGAATTTCAAAGGATAGCTAGAAAACATTATGATAGTTGAATTTTAGAAATGTTCACAGAATTCGTCATAACTCAGGACGAGAGACTCTTCAAATAGAATCAAATTTTATCTTGGACGGATATCTTCTTCGGTTTTTACTTGTTTCAGTTACAGTTGATCGGGAACTAATAAAACAAAATTTTTGATGCATGTTTCAAGGAACCGTGGTGTTCCTAATTTAGGAGTTGATCTGCTTCGAGAATGATAGAGTAATTTTGACCTGATCTTACCGCTCTAAATCGTATCGTTCGTAAGTACGAGAAATATTTCCTACGTAGAGTTAACGGAAGAACAAATATGTTTCTTTAAAGTAGTAGTATTAACGATTAGTTCTAAATCAATTCATTGGTGCACAGTGAATGTTTCACTATAAACTGTTATATCGAAGAAAAAAAAGCTCTGGTAAATAAATGAATATTTTTTTTCTAATAAATTATCGATCATTTAGGATTTATTTACGAATTAACGAAAGTTTCTCATATGTTAAACTTGTATTGACATACCAGTATCGATGTTCAACGTTATAATTGTACTTGCTTTGTCAAGATCATTGGTAATAGTTGTTAATTCTTCACGAATTAATGGATATTCAATAAGACTCACGTTGTCATAAATATGTCGATAGGATTTTGTAATATAATCTAAATAGAAAGTATTTTATTGATATTGCCAGTTTTTTGTTTACCAAGATCAATAAATTGTTGTTGAAATCGATCTATTTGTTGGTAGAATTCTTCAATTTCTGGTGAAAGAATTAAATTTGGTATTTGATAAAGACGCATAACCTCATGTAAAGCTGTAGCAAGCTTTGAGGAAACAAAGAATAAAAATAATCAACAGAACATTAACGCATTTTCTCGTACGTACTTCTGGCTTGATATTGACTGTATAGTATTCATTGACTTTTCCAAGTAGCGGCTCATTTAAATGCAATAGACTTCCATTTTGAAATAAATCAATCCATTGTTGATTTAAATTTTCAATAAAATTATCAAGTCTTATTTGAATAGTTCTTTCCTGTTCAAGTATTCGTTTATAAAATTCATTATCTCTAATCCTAAAAAAATGTTATATTAAACAGAAAAAAAGAGAAACAGTCAAAAACAAAAATTCACTTTATATCGATTGTTCTTAAAGGTTCTATCTGACTATTCACACGTTGACGCAATTGGTTAACCCATCGATAATGTGAACTTAATTTTGGCATAGATAATAACCATGCTGTACTTGAGTCTTTGATATATTCATCGAATAAGATTTGATCTTCATTCAATTCGTTTTCAATTATATTTAAGAGAGTATTTTTATATTCATCAATAACATGTTTAAGTCGATTTCTATGTAAAATTGATCCAAAACTACGAAGTATCTAATAATCATAAGTATAAATCATAACTTAAATACAAATCGGAATAATTCGACTTGCTCGATATATATTATCAATATTCGCTGTTTTAGCATGACTATAACATGGTTGAAGAAAACGACGCAGAATAGTAGCAACACGTTCATCGCCAGTAAAAACAATTTTACGAAATGTTTTATAAGCATTTGGAAACTCAGCATTGTATTCATTTGTTATATCATCGGTTAAACCTAAATTGAATGTGGCCAATAGAAAATCAATAAGTGATTTTTACCACGAAATAAAGCATAGGCTGATTTAAAGTCTCGAATAACTTTTTGTAGAATATTTTGTAATTCGACAGCATCAATGCCACCTAATTCAATCGATTCATAGATAGAACATTCTTGTGCAGTTGATAGAATATCCTAAATAGTTAAAATTATAAGAAAAAATGTTTCGTGATTTAAAGAAGATTGAACAATAATCTAGATAATCTTCACTTTATTGCAAGACTATCAACAAATCGAATAGCTAATTAGAGCAGGCTACAAACATCGATTTGCTATTCATTTTTATTTTATGCTGTACGACTTAACGTTTTACAACTTCCTTCTGAGCCTAGTTTTTAACGTAGAAACGAAAGAGGTTCAAACAGTTGTGATTATGTTTCTTCTGTAGTCGACACTAGAAATTGTTACAATGCGTCTTCATACAAGCTAAACAAAGGAGAAGAACGATGAAAGGCACTAAAAACGTGCCAGCAGTGTTCAAACTTTCACAAAAGGAAATTACGAAAATTTTGGAAATTTTGAAAGTAATTCATCAGAAAAGTCCGTTACTTCAAAAAATTTGGTAATTTCCATAATTTCTGAAATTTCTTTAATTCCCGATCTTTTTAAAAATACTTTTCTGTGAGCCTACGTTCTCGGAAATTTCCTTTTTTGGAGATCTGAATATACCTCAAACGTGCCTAAAATTTCTCTAGAAAAAGCACGAGTGTAGGTTGTGTTGTATAGATTAGTCCAATTGTCACGTAATTATCGAAGAAAAAATCCATTTAATACTGAAATTCCAATGTAGTTTGTTAAGAATTTTAAGACTAATTCGATACCTACCAAAAACGATAATATGTTGATATGACTTGCTTACAATAATTACAACTGGCTGTTATTATATTTTCGTTTTGGTTCTTATGTTAAACTGATTTTTAGAAACGAACAACAATATGCTTACTTTGAGCATTTTAAGACGATCAATAAAATGCTCGAATCCATCAAAGATTTTCGACTCTGGTATTTCCCAATAGAGTGTCTATGAAATAATGATGAAACAAGAAACTATGAAGTAAAAAACAAGAAATTTTACCGGACGGTCATTGCTAAAATATGTTGGTAATAGTTCCTTGCGACGTTGATAAGATTTTCTATAGAGCATGCATGTTTCAAGTGCTAAATTAATCGATTGTATTGGTTCATCAAAATCTGTATCAACAAATAAGTCATTTGGTTGAAGTAAATCACGAATCTACAAAAGAAATCTTTTTCGAAAAAGACGATAAGCTTTAATAGTTCATCTCATTTCAATCGTAAAACAATATTACTCATTTATTTTTCCATCGGTGTCTTCACAATGAAACAGATTTTATTAGAGTAACTTACTAATTAAAAAAAATGAGTAGTATGTTTTCAACATTAGCTTGGGAAAGAACGTTATGCTAACTCCACATCAACTTTTTGATTGGAAAGCTTTTCTTTACAATCTTTTTCCTATGGGGAACATATATTGTTCAGAAAAGATACGAAAAAGTGAAATGTTATTTTTTTTTCACGAAAATATCGATCCCTACGTTATAACAAGTTAGACATTAGAGCGATACTACGACCGAGTATAAAACTTTCAAAAATTTATACTAGATAAAATAAATTCTTTTCTTCATGACTAAAGTCTTTTTTTGTTGTTCAAGACGTTCTGATGAAAAACTGATGATTAGATGGTTTCATTTTAACCAAAAAATAAAGCATCTGCTCCAAGTCCATCAAGAAAGTCTCAAGTGCATTGTCGGTAATGTTAAAACGAAAAACACACTGAATCAACGATTTCGCATCACTATATTACTTAGTATGCATCCTAATTCCTTTGGCAATCTTACTTTCGTAATAACAAGATTTGTCCATTGTTGCAAAAAACCAATAAATCGATCTATGTTTGTATAATAAACAGAATTAGCCCAAGCTAATGCCAATGTATGAAATAATCGATTAAAATGGAATGATATCGATTGAATATCTTGAACTTTTTCAATTATTTCCAAAATTGGTACAAGCGGTTTTAAATATAATGCAATATTTTGTGCTTCAGCCAATGCTTGAATAACATCACGGAATATAGTTCGAAATCTTGAAAAATAATTTGAATTAGAAATTTCAAGAACTTCTACAAGACGTCGAATTAATGGAGAATGCATCTATGAATTTCATATCCTGTTTTTTGCAATGACTAATCAAAATTTTTTGGCATACTTGTGTTTTAATTCCTTGTAGATTTTCTGCTCGAGTTGTCCAAAATTCAATTTCAACATTTGGTAGTGGATGATGTTTAGTTTTTGGTAGATTACGATCATAATTGATCGCTGTTTGAATTTGATTTCTCCAAGTCATGATTAGATTTTCTAATAAACGAATTTTTCGACTATCGAAAGTTTTATTACTAAAGATGTTGAAGAAAACAAAAAACATATTATCAACGAGATAAATCAGCCTTACTGACTAAGCACACGAAGATAATCTGATCTTGTTAAAAAATCAATATCGTGTGGTATTGATAGGATTGTTTGATTTCGAAGTATTCCATTGATTACTGTTAATAGATTTGTTAATTCAGATATATTTTCTTGGCAATTACGAAGAACAATATCAGGCCAATCGGATATAGATTTTTTTTGCTGTAGAATTGGCCAAACAATCTAATACATGAGTAAAAATATAAATGGCTATAGAACATATATATATATATATATATATTTGAATATACTTCAGATATAAATAGACTTAATTGAGTGATAGATGAAGATGTAAATTCAGCAATGGCTATTTGCTTTTTTAATGGAATATCTTTTTCAATAATATTTTCATTTCGTTTAACAAAACAAATAATTTTTGATTTAAAGTGAATTGGAAATTCCGCCAGAACATTTAATGAATCAGAATTTTCAAAAATAAGTATTATATTTCGATTTGTTTTATCAAAAAATGATTCAATAAGTTTACGATTTATTTCATTATTTATAATTGCTGGAAAATAGAAAAAAAAACAATTTCAATTTGATATATTTTGCAGAAAATATAAACACCGTTCTTAAATGCGACCGGTGTTGTGCCATAAACAATATTGAGATAACTAAGAATAAAACGAAAACGTTGATCTTCCAATTCCATATCATCATTGGCAATTTCAACTTCACCAATGTCACTTGTTATCGAACTTCGTTCATTGACACTCTCATTCATTGTTATGAACAATGAAAATCATTGAATAGCGCCTTTTTCTTAGAAATTAATTGCAATGTTCAATCAGCAACGTATTTTTATCAGAACCAATGGGAGAAGATGTTGTTCTCAGTGATGAAGTTTCTCTATTTATAACTTTTCTCAAAAGTAGGATTTATTGGATTTAATTTAATTGTGTAGTGACCATCAAGTTCAAGATGTGAAATCATTCGTAATTAGTTTAGGGTACATATCGATGGCCCGTAAAGGAATGTTCGATTTTAGTATTTTGTCTTTTTATCATTCAGTAGATTTCATTGAGAAATCCAATAGAGCATCACAGGCGATGCGAGAATATGTACGAATTAATGATAAAAGAATAATTTTACATGATGCCTATTCTATTTTCGAAATGGACGTGATCATAACCACTAATTTGATGAACAATTATTTCATCTCTTTTAAATCCGATAAATTGAAGAAATATATTGATCACCGAAAACGATCTTTGATTAGAACATATACATGTTAGTCCTATATTAGTGAAATAGTTCTCGATCTAGACGATATTGAAGTTGTTCTTCCACATTCGCAATACGATGGTTTCGGGATGAGTACTCCTGTCGATAGGTTAAAACGAATATATTTTTAAGAAAACAAAACGTGAAAACTTTAAAGCATGTAATGTTGCAATAGATGTATAGAGATCATGTCTTTATTGTCATAGTTCCGTTGAAATTAGAATAAGCACATATTCCGACTTTTTGACCTCTCAACTCATTCATTGATTTTAACCGACGTATAGTGTTCGATTTACTCTTCCTTATCTATTAACAACTTTTTCCCATCACACCCATAACAAACTATTTTTTTCTAATTGTTTCATTCGGTGAATATACTTTTCCTTTTGATTATTACCTTCAAAATTTATTTTGCTAAGTATGTATACAGAAAAATGTATTCAAAAAAACTAAAATAAATCCATCTAAAATGTTTTACTGTAGTTCTAGACAAGTTACACATCGGTATCTATGTCAGCAATATCTTACCGGCTGTGAAAGGAGTATACTCGAAATGATACATGGAGATAGGTTGAAAAGTAAAGCCGCTCAATTAGATCGATGAAAAATTACGTGCTGTCAGAGGAAAATGATTGAGGCTAGTTGTCAAGAAAAAATTCTCATCAGTCTTGTTTAATCATGTGCTGAAATCAAACAAGCAAATACATAGATGTGAGAAACTTAATATTTATAAAAGCAAAGTAAGCAAATAGAAGAGAAATAATTTTCCTTGTCTTTGTAAAACATGTTGATACCAATCAGTAAATCTCGCGTAGAATATTATTGTATATGAGCAGTAGCTTATCTCATAGAACGGTAGGCGTTTATAATAGATTCCTTTTCTTAAAATTTAATCCGATCAAATTCGAAATATTCAATTGATAAAGACAAGTAGTTGCAAGGCTTTTTGTTCTATTTTAATTAAAGGAAAAGTCGAGAACAACAGTGTACTTTAACTGTAGAGGGTGAAACGAAGCCTCATTCAATCGAGAACGCGACAATAGTACAGTCATGAATCGAACAAACAACAATACTGATCAAGCTACAAAAGAAATGCATCGAAAACATGAGCATAGGCACCTTTTATTAACAAATGCACCGAAAAACAGGCACGAGCAAATGAATTTATCAAAACAGACAAGTAAGTTTATGTACTAGTATTTCATATTCAAGAAATTTTCTTTCAGATCCTCAGGCCGTTGGAATTAAATATGCATCCGTCATCGTTCTTACACAAGTTAAAAATAACAAGTCTTTAGATTCAAAATCATATGTTTCAAGTCGCGGTACTCAACAACCAATAACTCCAAGAGAAACTTTCATTGACCATCCATTCTTTAATGTTTACAATGGAATGCCCTATGAGGAATGGACTAAAACAAGAGATGCATTTGTTGCTGCATATTTTAAAGAATAAAGAAAATCGAATTTATATAAATTTTTAACTTGGATATAATATGTTAATTGGTTAATCATAAAAAATACTGGAAATACGATATTTCATTCGTAATCAACTGGCATTATGAAGCAGTGGCTTCAACATTTTTGCTTCGCTTTAGTATTATGTGATAATGCTTTATATTTATTTGATTGTACGAAAAGTATTATTATTAAAATAAAGTCAACGCAAATTTATATCTACATGATTACTTTCGAACTAAAAATAGGAAAATTTGCATTTTCAACTCACATAAAAGCAGGTATTCAACTTGAAATACAAGGAATATTGATTCGTGATGAATTAAATTTGATTACTGAGCCAAATAAATTTTCTAAAGCAGTTTCACGAAGAGAAAGAATATAAAGTACATTTGTTTCGCATCTATTGCAAAAGACGCGTCTAAAAAATGATATAAGTTGGTGCTTGAATGGCATCATCGAATGAATTGATTCTGTGCATTTGTGATGAAGACACAAGTGCATACTGCTTACTCGGTACTTGAGTAGATCCCTACAAATATTTTAATTGCGCGTAAATACGTTAAGATTAAGATTTTTAAAGCAAAAGGATATAAAATTATTAGATTTGGGTTAAAGATATTTACTTTAAAAATAATTGCTTGTTGCCATTTTTTATAAACAATGGATAATCAGATTTCACGACCATGTGAAATGAAATGAATCTGTTGATTATTATTCTAATCGGAAGAAATCGTTTAAAACTTCATGCTAATATACCGGCAACTGAAATTCAGAATTGAATAATTGTGTATGCTATTAAAGTCTACCGTGAAAATCCCTATGAATATTACTTTGGATCATGTAAGTTGGCTATCAGACATACTGAAAGAAGCTTTCTATCGAAAAGATTGATTTTGTAAAAATTGTTTTTTATACTATTGAAAATATACTAAAGGTATAACAGATTATTTGAGAAGAGAAATCTTAGGCAGCCGCTGTTTATTGTTTTTATTCTAGCTCATCAGATCAAATAGTATCATGTATTTATTTATAAGTGATCTTGTTAGAACTTTATTTTCATAGAGAAGAGAATAATGAGTAGGTTCAAACTATGCACCATTTGTTTATTTGACAATAACAAATTTAGCTATATTCGGAGATGAACAATCTGATTAATTGTCGTGGTATTTTTTCCAACAGTTACAGTAGTTTGTGAAGTTCTCGATTAGTTACTGTTGCGATCATATTTTGTACGAAATTGAAATAAAGAAGAGTTTCGTAGAAACCTGTTTGCATTTGACTAAATGCTTTGTGAAGATGTTTAATGATAAATAATTAGAAAATACTAAACTATTTTCACTTTAGCCAACTGTGTGCCACACAAATAATGACAGAAAAAATTAAATATTTACGAAAGAAACCTATTCTATCGAGAAAACGATTAGAACATTGAGTGAAACTGTCTAATCTGTTTGTATAACCATGTAACAAAAAATTGAAAACATGTCTTTTCTATAGAAGAAACACATTGTTATTTACAATATAAACTACATAACTCAAACCAAGGGCGAACAATGGAGATGATTCATATCGTTAACAATCAGTGACCGCATCCCAACTGTTTTCTCTCGAATTTTTGTAGAATCGGTAATTAGTTCATTTAATAATGTTGTTTCATCTTTTCTTCTAGGATTTAGACGATTACTAGAGCTGCCTTTTGAATCCATTTTCATTAATGGTATTGCGCTACTAAAACGTGTTCGAAAATGAACCGTTTCACAGATATGCTTTCGATACAATTTTGCTCTTTTCGATAAATTAAGTATGATAATATCACAAACAAATGTTGCTAAACCAAATATTCCAACCAATGAGCCAATGTTTAAACTCAATGTAATAAAATCGAATTTTCCAGCTTTACCACTCGTTGCAATTATGAATCGAAGACCGTAAACTTTTGTTAATGTACGAAACTGGCCTCTTTCGTGTTTCCAAGTAGAAGCATAACGAAAATTGAAACCAACTGAAAATGGCTTTTCACGATAAGGTACATCAAGACGAGCAAATGAATATTGAGGTTTACACATTTTTATATTTCGATCTAAGTTACAAATCCAATTAAGTTTAACACCAATGACACCACCATATTGCAACATTAAATCACGTTCATTACTGTCATTTTCAGCTTGATTTACAATATAATCGAGAGGGAAAATCGGACAATCTTTATCATCGGTTGGATGGAAGACGCATGGTTTTAAATCAGCAACCATATTTTTATGTTTCACTCCAAATGCTGGAAATTCAATAAAATTTTTGATAAATATTCTAAAGCCAAGAGGTCCCCGAATATACATAGGAGATACAGCATCATCTTCTGGTGGACACCAACCTGCGGAAAACTATTTTAGTAGTAAAAAAGAACATCGAATAAAACAAATTGAAAAAACACTTGCTAACTGTATTTGAATCATTTAGCTAGCTGAACAGTGTAGATCTCTGTATGGCTATATATATGCAATATAAAATATAATATAAGATTATTCTCTTGTTGGAGAGGAGTATACATAGTCAATGTTTGAATCATTCTGAATCTCATTGAGATATGATGTTTGTATACAAACTTGCTATTTTTTATACGTTGCAAATGAAATCTACTCTGTTTCGATCGAGATACGAAAGGAAAATAAAAATAAAATTTGGATTAATTCATTCTGTAAATTAAATTTTTGCGTTCTTACTCATTCTAATTGAAAATAACATTCATATTAGGAAACTCTGAAATCACTATCAACTTTCATTCTTTAACTAAACATTTCCTAAATCTTAGAGCATCAGTAGAGTTGTATGCATCTCACACGAGTTATCTTCCTGACATTTAAAATATATATTGAGGATGTTTGACAAACTGTTGACGCCAGTTGTTTATATTTGACAAAACAAGAGTTTGCATTGATACTAAATCAATAGTAAGAATAATTTTTGGTTCTCTTGCTCAGAATCAAATTAGTTCTCTAGTTCAGTGAAAATTGTTTTGCTACTCTTTCTAGATTTACCTTCATATTCACATAAACCTGTTCTACTATTTGTAGTATTTTCTGCTCCAATAATGACAGTTGGTTTTGATGTAAATAAACATCGACCCGTCCAAAGTCCGTTCATGCCTGCAATAAACGATTTAGTGACACAATCACTATTGCTTCTACACTTTGCTTGTTTGAGTTGTGAACTTTCAGCGCATGTCGATCGTCTTTGATCGGTTTCTATGAACGTTGTCATTACAAATATCGCATTGTTTTCCGATGCTGGAATAATATAATCTATTCAAAACAAATCGAGCATTTTATTTTCAAGAAGATTTTTCTATTTCTTTCATTTACCTGCTACATCCATAATAATTGTTTTATTTTCTGGTGTTCGAACATAACCAATACCTTTTACTTTAAGTGCGACTGATGATACAATGGCTGTACTTTGTTTTTGATAACCTTTCTCATAAATAAGGAAATATATAACAAAATAAATCAGAACAATAATTTGTATTATACGACGTAAACCAACATATTTCACACTGTGAATTAAAACCAACTTTTGTGTCTCGTATTCGCTGAAAAATCCAGTAAGAACATTGGTGACACTTTTCCCAATACTGTTCCGATCTTTAACAAATGAAGTCAACCGCATGTCTCTAAATAAAATTATTGAAATAGTCTACAATTAAACTATTCAGGAGCACAATCATTCATCGTTATAATAATCTGAATTATAGAAAACAAAACAAAACAAAATATTTTGCCTTTTGTTACCTTATCAAATTTTTGTAGATCTTATTCAAGAATTAATAAAGCCATTGAATAAATTGTCGTATCTGGTTCAGTAATAGAGTGAGAGTGTATGAATATAAATCAAATACATATTCTTCGAGACGCAGCAAAAAAAGACTTAAAATCTAAATGTGTATATACTGTTTATCTTGATAACTTCGGTTGTCGCCGAAAAGAAACTCTACAGTAATCAATTACGCGGTAACGATGTATATTATTGACAGTAACAGACACGCCCTATTCAAGTTGAGTATTATTCATTAGTCGAACATTGGCCACTTCTCTTAATATACGATATTAGAAGTATGATAAACAAAAAACGCTTATGCACTACTTTCGCCAGCACTTCTACATTAATATATTTTGAGAAGGGAAAAATACAAATTATAGCTGTAATAAGAACTAAATGAATATATATGTGTATGCATGTATGTATGTATATATCATACTCTAAAGTTTATTTCAACAAAGAGACATACGTATGCATCATAAAAAACTTTCGACATCGACAAAAATAAATTCTCTTTATCTTTCATTTATATTTTCCTTCAAATATAATACATACTTCAGTTAACAATAAAATGGTATGCGCTACTGTGCCGTATGTTGACATGATACATTCGAGATGCCGTGATTACATATTTTTTCAGTTTATTTGTCAATCATATTTTTATTATTTATATCATCATCTTAATATTTTCAATAGACGTTACTCGATTATTAACCCTTTCTTTTGTATCCGTAAACGGTGAATGATGACGTTTAAATAATTGCTTGTGGAACAATATACATATCATTGTTTCTTTAATGAATTCATTTAAACTTGCTTATGTGTCAGTACAAGTATGGACAAATGGTTATCCCCTTCATTCACAGACACCCACAAACGATTAGAATTGACGTACTAAATTATATATTATCTCAATAAGTATTAATATGTATTCTTCCAAAGATAAGACTCGCATCAAAATAAGAAAAAGTATGCTCAATATTTTTTTCTATTAATTATGCTACAGGGTGCTTTCACGCAGGTCCGCCCACTTTATACACGACCTTCTGTAGGCAAGATTTAATCATGCTAGTTTTGTAGCGCGTTTCGAGTTGTGCAGGAAACCATATTTTGTTTTTAACGAAATCATGCGCTAATTCCTACAGATAGGGCTCAAAATCCGATTTTCTAGAAATCCGATCCCCTAAACCAAGAAGTTTCTGTTTTCGTGAACACGATTTGAAAATCTTAATCAGACCATTGGATAGAGCATAAAAAGCATTCTATATGCAATAATTTTCGGGTGTGTCAAAAAAAATCTCGAAGCACTAGTGTACTTGTAAAAATCAGAAAAATGCGATTTTTGCTAAAATCGAGTACTCTAGAAAACCTACACGTGGACATAGAAACCATGATTTGTTAAAATCAAAATGAAGCTTAGGCAATGCTAGTTCGAAATAGTTGGATTAAATTTTCAGAATATATTCCTTAATTAAGATATCCGACTTTCAAAAACCAAGGATTTCTAACAACCTCATATTGGGCCTTCATTTTCTCGAGAACCACACGCCAAAATTCATTGAAATTACTTTTCTAAGTAGCCCTCAGTAATTACTACATGTGCCAAAAATATTAGCTCCCCCTCACGGAATTACACAAGTTATGATGCCTAATTCTGACAATCATCATTTTAATGATGCGTATAAGGTAAATTTTTATGCATAATCCAAATACACTCATAATCGCAGCCAATCGATAGAAGAGATTGCTAATATACAGAGAAAAAAAGTAAAAAGTCGTAGGTAAGCATTGATGTTTCGAGCAGTACGTCAGTTTTTTCAGTATTTTTGAATATGTAATGGTCTATACTGAAGAAAAACAAAATTTTTATTCTTGACAATGAATGATGATAACGTTATT